ACAGGGAGGCCCAATTCCAAATATAAGTTCCTGCATAAAGCTTCAAGGCCGTCTCTTCCAACGGGAAAAGCTAACACAGTTGCAACAGAAATGGCTCATGTAGTTAAGCCTCTAATGTATTGGCCAAAATGGCATCACTATTTATACGTTCGCGCCTCATTCATCCACCTGGTTCAATCACCAATTCCACTCTTCTCGAGCAGCAATGCCCGTCAACCGCCGTTATCCACGGCATCACATTCCGCTTTCCGGCAAGCTCATTTTCGTGCCGGCGCCGCCATCAAATCGCGTGAAAATTCATTGCCTTTGGATCCATCGGAGAGCGACAGTGATTCCGATGGCAAATCAAGGAAGAGTCGCAACGAGAAGAAGCGAGAAGCTCGACGTGCTGTTCGCTGGGCCATGGATTTAGCTAAGTTCTCTCCTCCTCAAATTAAGCGCATTCTCAGGTACAGTGAGAATTTCCTGATTACAATTGACAAAGGATATAATTTAGTGTTTAAATACTCTTATATTTTGGTTTTCACTGTAGAGTGGCTTCGACGGAGCAAGAGGTATTGGACGCCGTCCTGCTAGTCAAGGTAAATACTTTTGAAGCTTTATTTCGAGCAATTTTGAGATTTTATTGCTTCTTTTTCGTGGTCAGTTATGAATTTATGCTTGCTTGTTTGCCGCAGAGACTAGGTCCTGACGTTCGAGAAGGAAAGCGAAGACAATTTAATTACATAGGTATGCTTCAAAATGCTTACTTGGATTCATTTAGAGTTTTACGTAGTCATCTTTTCGATTATGGTTGTTGATCAAAATGTCCTTTTGACAAATCTTTAAGTGCATCATTCTGAATTCAGATATGCTAAATTGTAACTTATATTAGTACCTTTAGTAGTTTATAAAATATCTCAGATATATCCAATTTAGGTTCAAAGGTTAGTCAATGTTGATTACTTTGATAAGTGAAAAGGGACTTGCAAATTAGCATTGTGGAGAACTGTTTTAAAAGGTAGCAGATAATCAATAGCATTTGGGAGGAGAGAAGGCGAATGGATGAAGTGCTAGGATTTAAGGAAGGAGTATAATAGATTTCATTCAATGAATTTGGAATTCACAAAGCTTAAATGCTTTACAGCGGGTCTGAATATGAAGTTTAAATTTACAATACAAACTCGAATCATAGACCCTTTCATCCATTATTTGGATTCATTTCTAATAACACCTATAGGCTATAAACATGGCATATGAAATTCATAAATATGCCATCGCCTCTTATTAGCAGATGTTTCTATCCAAATGGGTGTATTGCTTTCCTTGACTACTAAAGGATGGACTCGTTAACATGAACGCTAGAAAATGTTAGAGACAATGTAAATTTCACTTCATAATTTACCTGTCCACAGTAAAACTATTCGAGAGAGAAAAGTACCCTTGGAGTTGTTTCTTACTTTCTGGTGCTTATCCCTCAAATTACATATTCTACTTTCTTAGTGCTGGTGCTTTTTTATTTTTTATATAAGGCAAGTTTTTAGTGCTGGTGCTATCATAAACCGCCCTTCTAATGATTTTGTAATATTAGAGACAATTCATGAATTAACAACTCAAAAAGAGGGAAGCATTCTTTGTCCAATATTTTTTATAAGGTTTTATTATCGTCATATATAATCTAAATTTTCTCCATATTGTTCGACCTCTGACCTAATAAGCTTCTCAGTTGTCTTTGTCTGACTCAAACAACTATGGGATCTATGGTCTTTGCCATCTGATAAATTCAGTTGTAACTGATTTATCTTTAAGCTCTCTTTAGTCCTCAATTTTGTGCTATGCAAATGAATACTTGTGTGACGCAAAAAAATAAACAAGAATTGTTGAAAAAAGTTTTATGTCGCCTAGAATCTTCAGTGCTTCATACATTTTGCATCCAGAAAAGCTAATATTTTATGAGATGTAATAGGCTGCTAGAGGATTGAGAAGCAAAAAAGGTAGAACTGAGTAGTAGGAATGCTTGTGTGAAACTGCCTTTTGATCTAATGCATAATTGTTCAATAACTTCTCGAGTTCCTCTTGCAAGTTTTTCATTCTCACATTGGTAAGTATTTTGGTCATTGTAGTGGGATTCCATGATAGGTTCAAAGGATAGGGCTCAAAGGAAAGTATGTCTCTTTGCTACAAAATGGAGTTGATAAACAAATTTGTTAGTTAAAGTTGATGCACCCAAAACGTAAATGGGATTGCAAAATAGCAAATTGGTAAACGGAAGTAGACACTCCGAAGTTTAAGCTGCTTAATACTTAATAGTATTTCATACTAATGGAAAAGGAAGTAGTGGCATACTGTAGAGTTTCAATAGTTTAGTCGTTGGGAACTGCGCAGGGTAACTGATTAGTTATTACAATCTAAGTTTAATTTGAATCCTCGTAATTTCTCTATCTCATATTTTTAGGAGGTTCATGCAACTGGAGGGTAAACACTAAACAGTAATACTGCAGTATCGTCACTCAGTCGAAAGAAGAGCAATCAACTGAATACTATTCTTGGGCAGAAGCACATAACAAATGATAAATTTGTACTTTTGAGAAGGGACATTCTAGTGAAAAAATTGTTGGTCTATCACTTAATATTTGACCTATATACTATCCGTTATTAGGAAGATCCAGCAATTATCCGTTATTAGGAAGATCCAACAATTATTTATAGCTGTTTAAGTTCTATACATGATTATAACAAAAGAAATAATCTGAAAATTGGATATCCCTTTTGAATTCATTATCTACATCCCGCCTTTTCATTTCTGCATTTGTGCTCGCTCCAGGNNAACTCAAAAGTATTAAATTTAAAAGTAAAGACCTTTTTTATTGATTTAAGCCCTAATTCATGGTTTTTCCAAATTTTTATCTTGTTCGTAGTCTGCTAATATCTCCCAAAAGCAATGAATATTTAATTTTTTTTACAAATACAAAGAGAACTACATTTTTCTTCATAGCAGCAAATTCAAAGTTCAAATTGCAGGTTAATCATCCTTTTTGTTCCTCCATATAAAAAACTTTATTCTTTTAGACTCAAATTACTTGTGCTTGTAAGTAACGTATAATAGATTGTTTTGATTAGTTTTTTGTGGGGATGGAGCACAGATATATATAGTGTTCTTCAATTTTTATGCAATTTTACCTGTTTATAAATATTAATTGTCATTATATTATTTTATAAAATATTAAAAATTAAATACCTATGGGGCTTACGCCCCGTTGAGGCATATGTAAAACGCCCCGCCTGACGCCCACGTCTTTTAAAACACTGCTCCAGGCCATAGTGAATAAGCTTGTCATATTTTTTACCCCATTTTTCTCTAGGACAGTGGTGCTTTGTATGATTGATTTGTAAACTGTTCATTCCCATGATAAAAAACCATAAAGTTCAGTATTAAGAGTTGTGGTTTATTAATTGATTGATTGTGCATAGTGTTCTTGATTCATAATCTATATTACTAAATGTGGTGGTATAAACTGAATACCGTGCAATTAATGTTGTTATCTATCTGCATTTTACAAAGAGATGGTTTACTTTAATGATTTGAATCCTAAAATCTATGGGCTCATAAACCTTGGAAATTGTTTTCTGAATATTGTTGGGCTAAGTTCACCCTGGAAATGTTTGTGGCGTGATAATTTCAGTGTATTCTCCTGAAACTTTTGATTACGAGCAAATGATGTATGTCCAAAGATATATGCTCACAATGTGATACAAATTCATGTTTGGTAGATTATTGCGGGATGTTGAGCCTGAATTGATGGATGGTTTAATTCAGGCAACAAAAGATGGAGACCAAACTAAATTTCAGGCTTTATCTGGTTCGGAACTTTCGGCTACTGAAGATGTTGATGAAGAAGTTGAAGCGACTGACTATGAGGATGAAGAAGATGTACGGCATAATCTCAATCCTCTTGTTTTCTTTTCTCAAAACAATCTGACGGAGTCAAAACTCTTTGGCTGCTTTTCTGTGTTAAAATTTGTGACAGAGCATAACAAACTAAGATCGCTAATTTTTTCCTGTAATTACATGGAACCAGGTTAGCTGGAACACAGGAATGCTACATCTTTAACTCTTGCTTCCTTTTTGTTTATTTTCAGGATTCTGAGGATGATACTGCTTTAGCTGATAGATGGTTTGATGGCTTGATCAATAAGGACGTTGACATCACAAAAGAAATCTATTCACTAAGAGAGGTTGATTTTGATCGCCAGGTTAGTTCAGCTGCTTATGTGCGGGTCTGGAGTTATTTTTCCTTTTTCCTTGAAATTTTGGTTTTTTTGCACATGATTTTATGATTCTTGTGCTTAATCTCTTGCCTGTATATGTTCATCCCCGAAGACAAATAACCAGTAAAGGGAAACTAGACGAAGAACTAAAATGGATAAATCAGTTTGCAGGCTGTCTAGTGTGCACTCTAACCTATAACTCTATAATTGTTAGCTTGGTTAACTGTGCGTTTCATCACTGTAAACCTAAAACTGTCAACTTCCTTACACTGTTTATATGGAATATGCTGCCCCTATTTGAGAAATTAAATAAAAATTATGTGCCTTTTGTATGAAAACTACAATTTGTTTGTCTTGCCGGGGCGTATTATTTATCTAACTATGTCTTAATCTCTTGTACAGGAGTTACGTGGTCTTGTTAGGAAAGTACAATCGATACGAGAACATCGGAGCAATTCAGACGAGGACGAAGGGAAAGTAAATAGTGATATCGTTCGTGCTGAAAGGTCCCTCACCCGTTTCCTTCGAGGCCTAGCCAAGCAGCTTCCAGCTGAATAGAGTATCAGATTCATCTGGGAGCATTATGCTACCGCATGGCCATCAATAGATCCTCAAGAAGTACATTAAAGTGTACTCGTCATTCTTCCTAGTACATGCATGTACTATCTGGAAGTTAGATCTCATTTTCTGCCCCCCTAGCTTCTTATTTCCCCTCTATTATTTTTGT